GGTAAAGTTGCAGCTGGGTGACCAACTTCCTCCATGTTGGCCCTTACAGTAAAAGAAAATGCTAGCTGCACAGTTTGATATGTGCCACATTAACTAGTCTAAACAAGTCGTTTGGCAAGCTGGTCAGATCACCACAGACAGTTTAGAAGGTGAACACAGACACAGAAATGCCAAAAATCAGCACTTTTTAATGGCCACACAGTCAAATACCTGCGGTTTAACAGCACTGCTGAGAAAACAGTGGAGTGACCTTTGGAAACATTTTCCAGAGCCTCAAACTTTGATTTTGTATCATTCTGAATAAAAAGTTGTAATTTTTTTGTAGAGCTGGGCAGAGCGTAAACGAGTAAATAAATAACTGCAATCACGGGCATAACTTTATGGCTATTACAAATGTTAGGCAAATATGTTTATGGTTTGTGTGTCTGTGTGCTTCATGTGTCTGACCCAACGTATCAGAATACTGAAATGGTATCGCTCTCAAAACCACAGTATTAGTCTGGCCCAACATCGCCAGTATAAAAGGGCTTTAACCAGCATTCCCAACCCCTGTCCAAAACACCCATGACTGACATGTTATTAGCCAATAAATGTCCCTCCCTCCCTCCTCACATGGCAAAAGCAGCTTTAGGCTTCCTAACTGGACATCACTAACCAGTGGGTGACATCTTGATGGCTACACACATACTTAGCTAGTCTGCAGGTATCTGCTGATGGTTTCTAATGTTAGCTGATAAAGTCATGTGGGAGGATTTAGTTGGCAGGCTTCACATTCACAGGTACCACTGACAATACTGGGTAACGACTTGTGGCTGACACACAATAAGCCCATCTTTGATAATTCCTCTTCCTCACTCTAATGATGACCACTTAATGTTCCACCTGACCATAACTTTTGGATTCACCTGTCATATTTACTCTAACTGGAATCAAACCTTTTAATGCATCTTTTTCATTCATTACTGAAGACTCAACAGTAACACCAGAGGAACAGTATGTAACATCAATGCAGCTCGATTAATGTCATCATTTATTATTATTATTAGGCCAAAATATTGCTCCTGTCACTTATAATTGAAAGGTAACTGCGTAGAGGCTTCACCAAGACAGATGTGGGCATTGATTTGAGTCTTGCTTCTAGAGCGACTGCAAAAGTAACCAAACAAACATGTTTTATTTAAGCTTTACATTCACTTAAACCTGCTCCACGTTTAGTCTGATCATTTTTCTTGGAAGGAGCTGACCTCTGGTTTGCGTTAATCTTGTAAAGTTTAGATGAGGTAACGAACACGGTGTGTGTTCACCGGTGATCCGGTGATCGCCTCTGCGATCATTTGACTCTCCCTCGGATTGAGGAGCACCTTGGCATAACGCTAACTGACCTACATCAGTTATGCTTCGTGTAGCACCAGCTGACTGTAATACTACGTTTCTAGCGATCAATGAACCCTGTTTGAGTACCACCGCCCCCCGTCCTAACCTCTCCGCTGTACCCTGCTGTAAACAGCCGTGCGGCAGCGTCACCACAGCAGCGGAGCGGCTCTGCGCTCTTACCTCCGAACAGATGAGGCGAAAGGTGTGCTGGTAATGATCCAATCAACAGCCGGGGAACTTCTTGCCCTCCGCCCGAGCGCTCCCTGTCCGCCGCCTCCTCTGGGCTGCTGCCGCCGGACTCCGGGGAGCTGTAGCCCCCGCCGCTGTTGGGAATGTTAATGCCAGAGTGGGGTCTTAAACTCGAGCCCCCAACAGACCTGGCCCTGGCTCCGATCTGCTGGCTGGTGCTGGGTCCGGAGGCTCCGGACGCACCGTGGTACCTCGCCCCCCGGGCGGCAGTCCTGCCAGCGCTGCTGCCGGACGTGCTGGA